TTTTCAATTTTTTTAAAGGAAATAGCTAAAATTATATATTCAAAACATGTTAAATTAAAAATTCAGTGAGGATGTATCATATATAGGTGACAATTGTCATAATCGCTATTTTTGAACTTTTTCAAATTTTTTTAAAGGAAATAGCTAAAAATATATATTCTAAACATGTTGAATTAAAAATTTAAGAGGATGTATCATAGATAGGTGACAATTTTCATAATCGCTATTTTTATCATTTTTTAAAGAAAATAGCTAAAAATATATATTCTAAACATGTTAAATTAAAAATTCAGTGAGGATGTATCATAGATAGGTGACAATTGTCATAATCGTTATTTTTAAACTTTTTCCAATTTTTTTAAAGCAAATAGCTAAAGATATATATCCTAAACATGTTAAATTAAAATATCAGTGAGGATGTATCATAGATAAGGGACAAAAAATGTTATTATATATACGAGTAGATAGGTACATAATAATTTTTAAGTGATAAAATGAGATGCTAATATATTTCTTGTAATTTTAATTTATAAAAAAATTCTTAAATATGTTATTGTCATAGACTGGGTCAGAAAATCAACTATCACATAAACTCATCTATGTTTTATTCATATTATATTAAGTTTGAGGATATTAAAATATTTCCTCTTTGAAGTTTCTAGTTAGGATAAAATTTACTTGGCACATCTTACAATGATATTTATACCTTGTTTTTTTTTCGAGAATAAATTTTATGCGATATTTCATGAAGGAAATTACATATCATTGTACAGAGAAATAACTTTGTATATATTATCTGCACCAATATCTTTTATATCAATCTCTATCGATGACATTTTAAATTATATTGGAAAACTAGATTGTGTAGATTTATAATTATTAATTTAAAGGATTAAGATTTTAGAATTAATTATAAATATATCTTAATAATTTTTATATGCATTTAATATTTAAAATCTCTCGTTATAAGCCTATTTAGCAAGAAAAATATTGACTAATGAAAGCAGATGAATCTAATAGTGATTCGTCATTCAATGCTAGAAATACAGCAAAAGAAAAATTCTAAAAAATTAAAATAGATAAATCAAAAGTATTTCAAAATATTTAAATGACACAATAAAAATCAATATTTATTTTTTAGGTTTTTGAATCTATAGTACGGCTGACTACAGTTAATAATTTACCCATTAATATGGTCAATTATGAGGGCTTCCGTATATTACTAGACCCCATATGTCATTCTCTTCAAATAAAAATAAATACTCGTTCAGTGGTCGACAAAATAAAATATACCGCATCCGAAATTAGATTACAAATTATACGCGAATTAAAAAACAAGCTGATTTCTTTCAAAATTGATACAGCTACCAGATATAATAAATCAATATTAGGCATCAATGTTCAGTATATAAAAGATGGCCATATAGAAGTGCGAACACTTGGAATGATAGAACTTCTTAAAAATCATACAGGTGCTAACCTAAAAGAAGAGATACATACCATTTTAAAAAAATACCAACTTGATTTAAAACAAATTTATAGCATTACAGTGGATAACGGCGCGAATATGATTAAAAATGGTTAATATTATTGCAAAAGATCAAAATGATTTATCAAATGTTGATGAAAACAAATTCAGCGAAATTTTTGATACTAGTTTGAGCGGTCAAGATAATATATGTATTGATGAAAACATTTCAGTTTTCTCTGATGAAGAAATACCAGAGGGTATTGACGATTATTATGACAATACAGACAATATATTAGACGATATGAGCAAAAGCTTTGGTCTAAGCTGTATAAGATGTTCAGCTCATACTATACAATTAGCTGTGAATAGTTTTATAAAAATATATTTAAAATTGGATTTAGTCAAAATTCGGGACATCATAAAATTAATAAAATCTCAAAAATATAAAAATTTATTTATAATGGATAAAGTTACCAAACCCACTCTAGATACTATTACTAGGTGGAATAGTACATATCTCATGTTAAAAAATCTTATAGATAATAAAGAATTTTATGTTAAAATGGGTGAGTTATACCCAGAAATTGGATTTATGGGATATAATTCAATTTGGCACTTCTGTACTAATGCCATTATACTTATTTACTCTGAAATTACAAAAAAAAAAATTGTAATTGGTGATTATTTTGCCTCTTGGCTAGAATGTAAAATGGAACTGAAAGAAATGGATAACCAGTTATCTAAAAATATTTTAGAGTGTTTGAACATGAGAGAAAGTTTTCTCTTTCAAAATGATGCATTTCGAAGTGCTATTTATATGGATCCAAGATTCCATTATGAAAATGGGAAATATCCTTCAGAAGACGATAAAGTATTGGCCAGGGTAAATTAATAAACTTATAATATGCATCTTTTTTATTTTAGGAACATATATTTGCAACCTGGAAACAATTGCAAATTATTGACCCGTATAAAGAACATCCAACCTTGATTTTGCCTCCTACAAAAGATTATAAAAAAACCAAACTTGATCTCTATATCGAGCGTGATTGCAAAAAAGTGCCTGTTTATTATGAAATGTTTTTGTCGTAAAGATATCATGTATTTAGTGCATCTTTTTAGTTGAAATCCATTCTAGCATCTAAAAATTTCATATATAATACTATTATTATCTGCACAGAAATTTGTTTTCCAAAAACATATTATATTTAAATTAATGGAAATGAGTAACACGATAATTTCAAAAATATATATACTAAAATAATTTCAAAAGGGAGTTGAGAATTAGATAATTGTCTAGTTTTAAATTATATCAGAACATTTTTACTTATGTTTAATTTAAAAATATATAAAATGAGTAATAAGACAATTGTCACCTTTATAGGTAGTAAGCTCATTACTACAAAAAATTAGAAAAAGCTTAATAATAACAATGCCACTTTCTATGGTACATCTTCACTGAAATTAAAAATGTTCAAAATATATAATTTTACCTATAAGCTTTAAAAAAATTAAAAAATAACGGTTATGACAATTGTAAGATACATATTTGATGAAATTTTAATTTAACATGTTTACAAAACATTTTTTTATTTATTTGCTTTAAAAAAATTTAAAAATGTTGATAATTAAAGATTATGACAATTGTCACTTTTCTATGGTACATCTTCACTGAAATTTTAATTTACCATATTTACAAAACATATTTTTACTTATTTACTTAAAAATAACTCAAAAAAGTTCAAAAATTACGATTATGACAATTGTCACCTTTATATCCTTTATAATCAATGAAACCATCTTGAAACATGCTCAACTAGCTTATTTTAATTAAAATTATTTTTAAAGATTCTGAGAGAATATGTCACTTTTATACTTTACATTAAATATAAAACATTAATTATGACAAAACACCAAATATCAAAAAAAATGTAATCGTTAAATTCTCACATTTACACAACACAACTTATGAAATAATATTTTTCTAAGATCAAAAAATAAAATAAAAGCATATATCTCAAAAATTTTATTTTTAAAAAATCACAAAATATTTGTACAAAAAATTTTAGGATCAAAAAAATGTTTTATTATAATAAAGATTTTCTTACTAAAGATTTTAGTATATTATAAAATTACAAAATTTTTTTTTATTTTGCTCAAAAATCTTCTTTGAGCAAGCTCAAATTTATTATAACGAAAAAATTTTCGTAAAAAATTAATCTTCAAAGATTTTTTTCTCAAAATTTTGGGCGAAAAAATCTTCAAATTTTAATTTGAAGATTTTTGTTAAACCCTGGCCTGAAGCTTTAAAAACGGATTGGATAATTAAAATTGAACATGATATCAAGGCGAAATCTGATAGGAATTTAGTGCCTATAACACACCGCTAATTCTTAATCCGTAATTTAAACAATATCAGATATGATCGTTGGATAATCAATTAAAATAGGGAAGGTTTAGTTTTTGAATTAAAAATGTACAAATGTAATTAATCATGGTAAAAAATGTTTCTAATATTAAAAAAATTCAATTTTTTTTGGAAATTTCTGGTAGAGGGACTAAAATTTCCGGAGCTCTGCATGCCCTCCGACTACACCTCCGCATATATGTCGTAGGTTAATAACATCTGGATTTTACCAAATCTTTAAAATTTAAATTATTCATAGCGCTCGTTTTTTTAAATTTTCAGACCTGATTATGACCAGTGCCGACTGTTAACACAGAAAATTTTGCCCGAATTTTTTTATTTATATTAATTTTTCTTATAAATTAAAAATAACAAATTTTATGGCAAAATTTACCATCTAGGTACTCTATATATGCTCAGATTTAAAAATGCCTGCTATAAGTGGAATTTTCAAAATTTACTAAAAAAAATCGGTCTATGAACACAAATTTCAATTTATACTCTTACATGTTTAGCTTAAACATACTATATACCAGGGCCAGGACGTATTTTAATTTTTTTAAATATACCCAGGTCGAGTCTGAAAAATTCTTTAATACCCGAATGTATCTCGGATTTCTCTTTGAGAAGTATCATGTATCTCGATATACACTAAACTTTTTTTCACACTTCACATACTCAATAATTTTAATTCATTTAGGTATTATATACTTATATAGTCTAACCATTTATAATTTTTATAGGAACTTAAAGAAAACCAAATCTCAGATAAAAAGAAAGAAAGAGTTCCTTTCGACAGAGAAACGGATATGAAAATTAAAGAAATATCCAATTTAACTCAAAAATCAAATTACAAAACTTTATTAGGTCAGGATAACTCCTTATCGAATAAATTCTCGAAATCAAAAAATTCATGATATTTATATTGGGTGTAGTGACCTTATTACGATTTTATTAACATAAATTATAATTATTCGTCTTCAACTTGCACATTCTTTTATATGTATTATATTTTAAAGAATTTTTATTGTTTTGTATGATTTTTATTTTCATATTTGTTAGTATATAAATTTAAAAATCATAAATTCAAGATTTCTAATAATAATTTTTTGGATACAATTATATTAGAATGCTGATATTTAAAAAAAGCGGTATATAATTTATTATAATATATCATAATCGAATAGAAAAAAATCCTGAGATTTAAATAAAATAATTTTGTAGATAATTTGAGCAAAGATTTGTACAATATATTTGATTAAATTCTGAGTTTTTTCCGAATAGTGGCGATTCTTTCGGCTATATCGCATCTACAAATTGGACATGTTCTATTATTCTGGATTTTTAATATTAAAAAAAGATTATATAAGTATATATTAAAATCAAAATGATCTATGAAAATTTAAATTAAATTATACTTATCTATATTTATTTATCGTTATTAACGAAAAATTAGTAATTAAACATAATTTTATTATATAACACTAGATTTTCTTGTAAAATTTATGGAAAAAGTGTTAAAGTAAAGCAATATTAAATTGTTTTTAAAACTTTTACAAACTTCCAATTCTCTTTAATATTTTTATCATCATTTGAAGAAATAAGTAGTTTTCAAGAGCTTTATTTGGTGTATTTTGGACGGAATGGTGGTTCCAGGAAACTCCCGGAAATTAATAAATATAAATCTCGAGAAAAAATCCGCTTTTCCATCAAATTTTTACTTAAGATTGAATTATAAAGGCATAGTTTTGGATTATAATGAATACACTCATCTTTATAAAAAGACAAAAAAATTTATTTTATTAAGTTAAATTTTTATAATGGATCTAATTCACCCTGGGGTTACTCGTATGCCCTCATAAAACAGGCAAAATAAGATGGCGCTGCTCAAAGTATTCATCTCTTTCAATGGTATTTTCTATGCATGATTATTGATAACTTTTGAAATCATATTTTTAATATTTGCTATTTCGTGTTTTATCATATACTCGTTTTGTTTCATGTATATCCTATGATTAATTTTATTGTACCGGGTTAAAGAGCTATAATATTTTTTATTATTTGTGTTTGAAATTGTCATTTTTAAAATATGATTGATTCAAATAAATTTCAAATGTTCCACAAAATCATTTCAATATTAAAAAAGTTACCCCCCCCCCCCCCTCCCCGTAGAAAATTCCTGGCTACGCGCCTCGGTATGCTCAAAATCAAGTCTATATTGCAATCAGTTATCTAATATATTGATTACACTCAAAAATAGATATTTTTTATTATTGTCCAAACTTGTTTTTAATTTTCAATATTAAAAGTATTAGATAAAACATAGTTTATGAATATGTGAAATTAAAATATTTTAAAACTAGAATTTTTTTCTAATGTGTAAAAAATACTTTTAAAAACCTTATGAATCCAAATATTGTAATCTGTAAAAACTTATTTAAAAATTGACATAGATTAGTTTATGAAAATAACTTTAAAAGTTAATATGAGCGCCCGACATTCGAGTAATCTTAATATGAAGTTTCGTGAACAATTAAATCAAAAAATCATATTTATTTTTTAAATCGTACTTTGAGCCATTTATCAATGCATTTAGAGTGGTATTCATGATTGCACGGCATAACTCTTATGAGAGATCTGGCTTCAAAATCGGTCATGCATATAACGCAAGATGTTTGATTGCTATTGCTGTGATGGCTTTCGGGGTTGAAACGAAAGCATACCAAACATTCTATATCTAATTTTAAATATATAGTCAGTTCCATCCTACTCATTTTTTTAATTCTACACCATCTTATATATCTAAAATATAAACACCAATCAAATAGAAGAAAATTACGTATCACATTCATTTAAAATAACATAAATTCGATATTTTTTATTTTGAAAATGTAATTAATTAAATAAATCATAACTCAAACTTGTAATCTTAAATCAAATTTTAACACCAAAATATGAAACTATATTTAATACAAATTAGATTGAAATTAAACTAGAGAAAAATAAATAAGATCAGTATCTGAAAAATATTAAGCCTGTCCCATGGCCATATACAACTAAAAAATTTAAATTTCTACCTAATTTTGTGAGCCCTTTAGATTTGGCATCTCCCAGTCTCTCAGTCAAATTCAATAACGCCTGCATAAATAAAATTATAAAATATATAGGTGTTTTGATGATTAATATAAAATACTTATTTTGTTTTTCAAAAAAGGAATATAAATTATGGATTTATATCACTACATATAAAATTTGTAAACTTTGAACAAAGTGCTTATTATATATTTTATGTACAATGTCACAAACAGGGCCCCATATTTGAGCCAAACAGATTGACTGGAACAAATCTTTACAATTTCCAGAACCGTAAGTTAAATTGTTTTAAAAAACGAAAAGAAATTAATTTTCTTAAATCGTCTTAAAGATGAAATAAAAGGCTATTGTTTTTTTAAATCGAGACATTTTATTTCCTTGGGAATCAACTTTCTAAACTTACCAATATCTTTTAAACTTTTAGCACTTGCAACCTATATACATAACGGTTCGGGCCCCTGATCTTAGAAAAATCTTTAAAGAATATAATAACCTCATAATTGTTAGTTTGAGTCACTAAACGATTATAATTCCTAGGATTGGTAACTTGATGTCTATTTCTTCTATTACTGTGTTGTTCACTGAGATTCGTACTGCTAGGAGCCACATCATTGTTATCTCTATTCCTATTAGTACTTCTTCTACTCTCCTCTAGAATGTTAGCTCTATCAAGTTTTTGGATAAAGAAAATGGATATAATTCATATGCTATGTTTCTTAGGGATATATCGTAAATAATAACGCCAATTTTATTATTTATACTTTAAATAAAAGAATTTTTTTAAATATGGTATCTGAATTATGGAAATATTTTACAAAAGACAAAAATAATTTTGCAAAATGCGTTATCTGCGGAATTCTAATTTCACGGGGAGGAATAATGAAGATTTCTTTAATAATACCAATATCCGTAAACTTTTTTAAATTATTTTAGAAATATAAAAATTAAATTAAATTCATAATTCGATTTTTGGCACAAAAAATATTGATTTCTTAATTACATATGGTTCAAAGGGGGGGGGGGGGGATGAAAATCAATACAAATATTGGATCGGTGGCCCTAATTAAAATAATATGTTAGTTAGCATTTACCATTATTCATATATGCAAAATAGAAAATATGATTAAAAAATGGCATTTGTAATGAATATTCTTCTAAATCTGTTTTTTTAAATAATCAAAAATCTTACTATAAATCTTCAGTTTAAATAAGTTAACTAACATTACATTAAATTATTTTTATACTTTTTTAAAATTTATTTATGTGTTTTTAAATAGACTTATATTGAGTTAAAAATAATAGCAAGTTTTACATTTTGATATTAAACTAAATATAAATAGATACTAATAGTTTAACTTAAATTACCCATTTTGTCATATTCCATATAAACTAAGATAAACTTTTTTTGAATATATTAATTAATAAGAAATTATATATAATAGTATTTTATTAAAAATTGTCAGTACTTGATTTTTATTAGATGTTAGTTATTAATGGTAGAATTATATGATTTTTCCCTAAATTATTAGCAAGTATTATTATAAAAACGAATTAATAATTAATATATATAAGAATAAACTTGTTAATTTAGCCAAGAATAGTTTTGTGTGATTTTAAGATTATATCTTATCTAATTAACTGATAATTTGCCTCATCTCTATTAAATTGAGTATTTAAAGTAAAAACAATAAACTTGGTATTGATTGATATGTAGATAATATAAAAAAATTTTAATTTGAAAAGAAATCACGAATTTAAAAATTGCCCCCAAGGTAAAAATTTCAAATTTAGGTTAGTAATTTAAAATTAATTATTTTTTAAAACCGTTTTGAACTGGTTTAAAATATTTATAACAGTTAGGTTCGCTCTTTTTATATTTTCTTTATAATGATTCGGTTACGGTACAGAAAATTAGGGCTGTGCCGATTCACATATTTTTCACCGATTTGATATTGGTTCAAAACCGATCCGATATTTATATTGATTTTTCACTACCCCTCTTTGAAACAAATGTAATTAAGATATCAATATTTTTTATGCAAAAGAATTATGCATTTAATTTAATTTTTTTATTTCAACAATAATTTTTAAAAAATTATATTATAATAGATAAAATAAATATAATATGTCCATTTTATGTTGGTATGAATTATAATTGTAATATTTAATATATAAAATTATTAATATATTAGATTTTTAAAAATAATTTTTAGTAATCCTCCCCGTGAAATTAGAATTCCGCAGATAACTCATTTTGCAAAATTATCTTTGTCTTTTATTTCCATAATTCAGAAACCATGTTTAAAATAATTCTTTTATTTAAAGTATAAATGATAAAATTAGAGTATTTTTTTAAAAATTTAAAATAAATAAAACTTTGGGTGTTCCTTTCTATTTTTATAAAAAAACTAAAAATCTATTTAAAAAATAAATAACATTTGCATTGTTTAAAAATAAAGAAAATATTATTAATGAAAAATAGTAACTCGAAACTTGGGGAAATTTATTATTTTTTTAAAAAATTTTTTTATAAAAAATAATAAATATTATGTAATAATAATTCAAACATTATTCAAAAGTTTTAAGAATTGTATTTTTAGTAAAAAAGATCGGATCAAGTTTATACACGTATCGGTCCGATCCGATATAAACGCTAAATATCGGTACCGATCCGATCCTATATTTAATATCGGCACAGCCCTACAGAAAATTATAACGGTTCATTCCGGTTTGGTTAGAAACTCTGCTAACATTCTTTTATTTCACAAAATAGTTTTAAAAAAATTCAAATTCGATTTAGTTGGGCACAAATTAATCCAGGACGTGCCGATGTTGGGATTCTACATATTACATGCTCGAACACGAATGATATAGCAAAAAAGGGCAGTACAGCTGTTCATTATCGATAATCATAATTTGGGAAATCTTCCATTATATGATTAATGTTCTGGAACCAATTTAGATGATAACAAAAGAAATAAGTCAGGAATCATCATGTTCAATTAGCAATGTTATAACCTTTGTTGAAATTCTGAAAAGTGAATTAACGAATAATGGGGACACAGCTAGAAGTGTGAGACCATAAAGGATACCATTAATAATCAATAAAGAACTTGGTTTTTTGATATTTATGATGATGACAATTATTTAATCGAAACATTACTTGATCTTCGTTATAAGAATTTCTTTTTACCAAAAGACATTTCATACATTGAAAAGCTCAAGACAGCATGTGTGCCTTTTACTAAAGGTGATAATAATGTTTAATTTCCAACTCCCAATAATAAAGATTTGCCAGGTTTTATTTTTTTTTAAAAATAAATTTAGGTTTTAATGATAACTTTAGTTAATGACAATGAGGAAAATGTTTCACTTAACTTTATAAAATGCAAATTTAATTTAAGGGATGTTATAAATTGAAAATCAAAGAGAAACTAGTAATAAATAAAATAATTAAAATCAATTGTAATGTAGATGACCTGCTATACTCGACAGAAATCCAGGAATATTTAAAAGAATCTATATCTAGACATATTAACATTTTTCATATATTATCTTACATTGCTTGGTTGGGTAATGATGGACCCATTTGTTTGGGTGGTATCTGATTATTTCAAACCCAACAAAAGGTTAGGTTTGTATGAAACCCACTATTTTAGCGAATTTTATATCTGTTTATTTAGATAATTCTAATAACATTGATATTATATCCCCTGTGGATCTACTTGACTATTGGCGAATTATTGCTTAAAAATTTTCAGCTTTGTCAAAACTTGTATGTAAATTTTTTGGCGCCTCCTGCAACAGTATCCCATCTGAGTCTGCCTTCAGTAAGATAGTCCACATCGTAGAAGCTTATTACCAGAAATTTTAGAGGCTCTCATATTTATTTAAAAAAAATCTAATATATTATAATTTTATAATTCTTACCAACATATATATGTTTCAAAATAAAATGGATACATTATTAAATATAATATAATTTTTTTGTCTCTTATAATATAATTTTTCTTTTAAATAATAGTCTCAATTGTTGAAATAAAAAATATTAAATAAAATTAAATGCATTTTGGTTCAAAGGGGGGGGGGAAGGTGGTAAAAAATCATTATAAAATTCGAATCGGATTTGAAGCAATATCGGATATAGGTGAAAAATATGTGGATCGGCACAACCCCACTATAATAAAAAAATATTATTTTTACTCTCTTACCAACCTTTTAGAACACAAAATAAGTTAAAAAAACACGAATCGAATGATGCTTTATTTGTATAATTTTTTATTCGAAATAGTAAGTGTTTAACATTATACTACTTAAGCTAATATTATTATCTGAAATACTTATTATTTTATTTGGTTATTATAAGTGTAATAATTAATTGTTATAAATTTATTTTTTATTTATTTGATTATTATTAGTGCTGTAAAGTAACATAAAAAAGTAACGTCGTTACTAACTTCGTTACCATCTTCTAGAGATAACGAGTAACGGTAACCCTCCCCTTTTTTTGAGTAATGGTAATGCAAAACGTTGATCATTACTTTTATTTATTTTTGATTATAAATAATTTACGAGTTATTAATTTATATCAACCACCATTCCTTCTTTTTTTAAATTCTCGTTGTTAAATTTTCAGTCGAATGAATATTCAATCAAAATTCAAAGTAAATGTTAATAATAATTAGGGCTGTGCCGATCCACATATTTTTCACCGATCCGATCCAATATTGTTTCAAAACCGATCCGATATTTTTACTGATTTTTAATCACCCCCCGTTTGAACCAAATGTAATTAAGAAATCAATATTTTTTATGTAAAAAATCGAATTATGAATAATTATATTTTTTTATTTCTACAATTAAGACTATAATAAAAAAATATATATTTAATAATATATCCATTTTATGTTGGAATTAAAAAATTGTAATATTTAATATATAAAATTATAATATATTAGATTTTTTAATAAATATGAGAGCCTCTAGATTTTCTGGGAATAAGCTTCTACGATATGGAATATCTATATCTCCTGCCGTACTGAAGGCAGACTCAGATGATTCCGCAGATAACACATTTTGCAAAATTATCTTTATCTTTTGTAAAATATTTCCATAATTCAGATACCATATTTAAAAAAAAAATAAAAAAATTAGCGTTATTTAAAAAGATTTAAAATAAATAAAACTTTGGGTGTTCCTTTCTATTTTTATAAAAAAAACTTTTAAAATACTATAAATCAATTTTTTTTAAAAAATAAAATTTTTAAAAATTATTTAGAAAATATTAAAATAATGTAAAATAAATATAACATAAAATAAAATAACAAAAAAAAGAAAAGTAAAAAGATCGGATCGGTTTTTTACAGGTATCGGCCCGATCCGATATTTTCGGAAACGCTAAATATCGGCACAGCCCTAATAATATTATTATTCATAATTTATTTTAAGAATATTATGTCCATAATACTTCTTCAGTTTAACCCTTTCTTGGCCCCAATTTGAACCATATTTTATACCAATAAAGAAAATTAAGGGTACAAAATCTACACTTGGTAAATGTAAATTATGTCCAAACGCTAATATTTCAACCTTAATGTCCAGCAGTTCAAACTTAAAAAACATATGAAGGCAAAAAGATTAATTAATATATTATTATTTTAAACAT